TGAGTGCACTTTTCGAAGTATAAAATGAATAAAAACGCAGTGAACGCATGAAGAGGTAGTAGCCTAGTTTCGTGAACAATTTCATGCCTAGTCGTAGCAGGCGCATACTTCTATCTCTTTAAAAAAAATTTAGCTAAACGAGGTGCAATTCATAAAATTGCCAAATGACTAGAATTTGATTGATTAATCTTTTAGATGCAGTCGACGTCTATAGAAAACGACTGTGGTGTGGTATCGCAGTCAGCTGCTCCGTTTGTAACATTGGCTAGATGTTGGCAATGTTTACCAGCTCGGATCACTAAGGATCAAGCTTTCGTCACGCTAGTTACCAGCGCTTTTCCAACTGTAAAGGTGGGCAGTAGGCAGCCCATTCTCCTTAAAAAGTCCTGCAAACCTATCGCATTTCAGGAACAAGACAAGCTCTACAAAGAGCTGGAAGAGGCATCATTCTTTGACTGTTTTTCCTTAGATGGCCCATCCAATCGTTGGAGTTGTTTCAGCTGCTCACACCCTGACCGAGTCAAGTATGTTTTTCTACCCATCTATGCTACACCTCATCATAGAGATTTTTCCAGGTCGTTTGTCGAAGACGGTTCACAACGAGTTCTTGAAGGCCAACTCAAAGAGAAAAAAGGACGATGGCGATTCTTACGACGTTGGCATACCAAGTATTTCACGTTGTCTAGTGCTGCTCTAACGTGCAGTTCGGAACAGGCGGTATGTGAAAAAAAATGTTTTTGCGCTTTATAACTAGTCCTATTTGAGGTGCCGCTAACTTTGAATAAAATAAGATTGGTTTTCTTTCTTCTAGCAAGGAACCCAACCAATCACTTGTCTTTTATTGCTTTTCTCTTTTATGCTACCATTGAAAGAAAAGGCTTCGCTCCATTCCGCATCTCAAATTTGCGGATTTCTTAAAGGTGGAATTTTATGATAAACCTGTAACTGAGAAGTTTATTATCTTTGAAAGTACATAAGCTATACAAGTTAGCTCATTACCAATCTGTGCACTCTCAAGTTGATGTCCCACGGCTCGTCCAATTAGCTCATATGTGCATGTAATCTCTCATAAACAAAGCGACACGATGGAAAACATTGTTATACACCTTGTGTGGAGTTTATCAGCTAGTTTTTTATTTAGTGAAAAGTCTAATCCTTATTCTGCTTCGGCAGTTTGGAGGAAAATGAATGACGTGAGGAAATTTGTACGATTTATTAAGTTTTTATGCAGAAGAAACGTGGAACAGAACTCTATTCTCTTTCATGGTCTGATTATAATTGCAACCAAAGGTTTTCTACATAGAAATGGACTTACAAAAGATTTGAATTTAAGATTTTTTTCACCTTGACTTCACAACAGTTCACTACTTGTGTTTATGATATTGCACTCTTTCTTAAGATTCACATTATATCCCAAAAAATGTGCTCGCTCTTTGGTCCATTGTAGATAAATAATTTCCAAATCTTTTTTTCAATCTAACTCCTTAGCGACTTATCTTAAAATCTATTTTTACTCCGATCTGCGTTTAAAAATAGAACTGTGTGCCTCTTTTTGTTAAGAAGGGTAGGATACAAATTCG